TCGAAATCTCTTTCTACCATATCCTGCTGTCTCCTGATGAGATCGCTATATGGCACAACTCCAGGGGGCGCCATTCACATTACCATCGATGTGAATGGCAGCTGGGAGTTGTGCCATGTAGTAGCCACGTCTCCCGAGATCAGAGGGGCAGTTCGCTTAATGGGCGACTGCAAGGGAGAAATGATGCAGGCCTGACCTGGTGGGATTGGAAAGGAAGGGACAGATTCAGGAGACATTTAGGAGACAGATTGGAAAGGATTGACCAGTTAAAGGAAGCGGGGCTTGAGGCTGCCTTTGAAGTGTCTAGCTTAAGTGTCCCAGGCGATAGTCATGCCCTAGGTGGGTTAGAAATAGGGAAAAGAAATAAGGGAGAAGGGGCTGCTGGGCGGAGAGAATACAATGCCTTTCCCCCACTTCCCCATTTCACCTGGACCCAGGCCTAGGCAGCAAAGGGTTAGGAGATGGACTTGACCCCAGGACATGGTCTGGACCTGTGCTTTGGTTTCCTGCTTTTCTCCTTAAAGTCAAGCACAGGAGCCGAGTCTGGATCAAAGTCGGCTGACCTTGCCCCCTCCCCCCTCACAGCCTGCCCTTGCTCCTGGCCTGGTGGATGAGCAGGCCGTAGGGCCGTGGAGTGGTCCCTGCAACGGACCGGTGAGTGGACGCCGGTGGGCAAACCAGGACATTGGAAATGTCACAGCCGCTGGAGAGTGAGGGTCACTCAGCTGAGACGCAGCACCCACGTGGCTCTCAAGCCTTTATGCGTGCCGTGTTCCTTCCAGGCCTGTTCTGAACACCCTTCATTCCAGATAACACTCCCCTGTATTCACTTGTGGCCGTGACGTGACCTTTAATTGCAGTTACTCAGTCCCTTGAAGATCACTGTATACAGAAGGACACACACACGCACAAACATGCTCACGTATGCTCACACATACACAAATGTGTGCACATTTAAAACTTTTTAAATGAGGAAGCCCAGTGATAAGAAAACAAGCTGTCAGGGATTTGCTTTTCAAAACATAATAATGTAACTTCCGGAAGGCAATCAAGGGGTGGTACCAGTTCTGCACATGTTCTTATACCTTCTATAGGGGTAAGACCATGAGCGGAGTCAGGCACAGGGAGGACCCCAGGGCATTGAAACGTCTTCCATCAACAGCCTTGACCGATATTTACCAAACAACTTCTAGGCATCGGGCACTATTCTGGGTGCAGTGTGGGGTTCGAAAATGGGGCAGACACATCCCTGCTCTCAGGAAAACACAGGCCTTGGGCGCAAGAAGACACAGGCATAAAATATGTTGGCACCACAAGCACCGTCACAAAGGCAAGCGCTCTTGGGGTAATTGAAGACTTGATTTTGGTCTCTGTGCCACCACTCGGCCTTACCAGGCGGCCATTGGCTCTGTTCTTCACCCTGGTTCCCCTGGTCTCTCGGTGATGATGGAATCCACTGCCATTGGGAGTGGGGACCTTGAGATTTTCCTTCCCGGGACATTTATAAGAAGAGAATCAAGGTCCCCGTGAGAACCTGATCCACCCCAGGGCTCCTAACACTTCGTCATTTCGGTTAAGGTCACAGCCAGCCGGGCAGCGTGGCTGGGGGAGCACAGGGCACCTGAGTGAGGCTTGGCTAGAGCTCATGGTGGACGACAGGAGCCAGAGGGCCTTTACTCCCCTCCCATCCTGAAACTGGTTAATTTTATGTAATATCCCTCTCAGCTTAGTGCCTCCACCACTTAGTTTGGGAGTTATGATACATGTTTCCCTGGATATACTTAGAGTAACATTTCCCACCGGACATTCTGTAGAAGGCTCCTGCGAGACATTCATGGATTTGGTGCGGAAAAGTGTTCCATGGTCAATATGTTTGGAAAGTTCTGGGTTGAGCAAAATTAAGCTGCTTTACTGTAGGCCTTCTTTAACCCTTTAATGTGCTAGCGTGCATTGTGAATCTTGAAAAGGTGACTAGAACACGCAGTGTTTGCTCACCTCATTTGAACGTGGGACCTTGTTTTCACGAAACGCCTGTTAACGCCTCCTGGAAAAGCTAGTGTCCTGAGGAACACACTCTGAGAAATAACTAGAGCTTAGATTTTCTTTGCGTACAGACTGGCGGTGGTCAGCTGGTTCCCATATTTGCTTAGATACCAGTCTTCAATAGCAGCAGGAGAGTGTAAGTTTAGACATAAGGAAGCATTTCCTAACTGTGGGGATGCTTAAAGAATAGAGCCTGGAGTGTCCTGGGAAATTATAGTAAGAGAACACGCCACCCCTTTCTTGTCCTTTTACAAGCTCTCCCATGGGTCATTATAAATGCAATGGATTATCAAGGAAGCTCCTGGATCTTTTTATCTTAAGGGGGCCTTTGAAAATAGGATATAATTAGGGGATGAGAAGGTAGGAATTAAAAGGCAGGAAGACAGGCTGGCTGACTTCTGGAGGGGCTGTCGCTAAGTGTCTGTAATTCATTCATTCATTCTTACTCTGCTGGTGATGTGCATTTCAAGGAAACACGTTCCGAACTCAGGTTTCCAAGGCAAGTGGAACTAAAGAAGCAGGGAGCCAGAAGCTGCCCGCGATCTCATGGTAGCATTTCGGTAACTGTCGCGTGTTGGACACTTCTTTTGGGCCAGATGTGATACGCCTTGTGCGTGCATCTTACTTGTTCCTTGAACAATCTCTGAAGTTGCTGTCTTTGCGCCCACTTTACTAAATGAGGATCTGAAGCCCAGATCCTGAAGGCCATACTTCCTGAAGGTCATACATTTCAGTATAGTGTGGGACCTGGACTGGAACACCAAAGCCCTTACCGCGTATCCCCTCTACTGCCACTGTGCGTCTGTAGACATCACAGTGTCGGGGATTCTTGAAATGGGCCTCCTTCCACCAGGCTGTGCGTGTGAGGATAGGGCGGGGCGTGATGAGCTGCCCACATTGACAAGGAAGCCGAGGGAGAGGGGACGTCTCCCTCCACATCAACCACAGCTGGGGAGGCCCCTCGGTTGCCTGACAGCAGCCTGGCTCTGCACCCTGCCACCTCCCCCTTGCCAGGTGCGTCTCTTCTCATTAGCCATCTGTCCCCTCGTGTCTGCTGATAGCCCGTGGCGCATGGGTAGCTGCCCTATTAGGGAGACAGGAGATGATATCAGCTTATGAATCAATACGTTCTCTGGCACGTCCGTGTTCCCCTGGCGGGAGTGTGGCAGGATCCAAAACACACTTAATCCTCACCCCACTCTATGCTGTCAGGGGTTGGTGGCTCCAAAGGGGTCTTTGTAACTTCAGTCTGCAAGCTGCAGCTAATAAGGTTGGACTCCGGGCAGAGCTCAGGCCTGCGGCCCAAGGGCTTGGCCGTGGCTGTGGACGTGAGGGAGGATGCCGGGGACGTGCCAGGGGCCTAGAGCAGCTGAGTCTTAAGACAAGGAGGCCTCCTGAAGGAAAGTCATGTTTCTGCTCAGCCACAAAGTAAGCCCAAGACCCCTGCCATCGGTCCTGTCAGGCTAGTGGCTGATGGCTTAGTCCTGGGGTCTAACGACCACGTGCCCACCGGGCGCAGAGCTGTGTGCGAGGCACGTGGAATGAATGTGTGATGAATGTGAATTCAACGCACAAGGATGGCCTGACCCTCATTTGAAGGCATTATTCCGGGAGCGGGAATTGGTGAGCCGAATTGCCTGGTTTCCCTATATAGGGCCAAGGTGGGTCTTGGGAGTCCAGGGCTCTGAGCTCAGCCCTGCCTGAGGAGGGGGATTCTTCTCCCTGTGACACTATCTGGCCTCAGTGAGACTCACGCCTGCAGGTTATAGCTGAGTGAACACGTGGCCCCGGTCAGGTGATCGGGTGAGGGCCACGCCTCCTGGGAGAATTCCTTTGAGCTTCTAAATGTCACTGCCCCACATGGGGCTTCTCTGACTGCCTCATCTCAAGTAGCAGCCCCACCCTAACCCCCCATAGATATCTGACAGTATATGTATTTATTTGTCTATTTACAATCTGTCTTTTCCCCGAAGCTGCAAGTTCCTGAACATCAGGAAATGTGTTTCTTGTTCACAACTTCTGTGTCTAGAACATCCTCTGTGCCCGTGTCTGGCACATAATAAGCACTTAAATGTGTGTTAAATGAGTAAACAATAGTAATAACAAATGAAGGCGCAGCCCCACCTGCAGACCTTCTTAGCAAACTTGACCTTGTCACTCCTCTGCTGACAGTGCCCTCAGGTCCCATCACTACGGGATAAAGTGCAAGCTCCCCAGCCTGGCAGCGGGGCCGCTGTTCTCCGGCCCCTGCTGACGTCTCCAGCCTCATCTCTCACTGTCTCCCCACCCACATGCTTCCTGGTGCTGACCCAGTGACTCCCAAACATTGGTGTGCGTATAACCTTGGGCCCTGCTGTAAAAGCAGACTCCTGGACCTCGGCTCCCGAGACGCAGATTCAGCTGGTGTTCGGTGGGGTGCAGGGATCATCACTTTTTTTACAGATACCTGGGGGAGTCTGATGGCAGGTATTCTGCGGACACACTTTGAGGAGCGATGCTTCTGTCAAAGTACACTGCAGGCGCCCACGCACTGTCTCACCTCCATGCCTTTGTATCCATGGTGACTTCTGTCTGGAATAGCCTTTGTCCATCCACATTTTCTACCCAGAAAACGCCTAGGCATCCTTCAAGACTCAGCTCATGGGTCACACCTCCTGCAGACCCAGTCCTGCCTCCACAATCTCATTTGTGTTTTTCTTTCTCTCTCCACCCAGAGCATCGTACACATGCCTCTCTTAGACATCTTTCTGTTTATTTCTCTCTTCTTCCTCCTGGCACCTCAACACTGTGAGCTACATGAAGAAGAACTCTCCGTTATCTCTGGACTCTGACACCTAGCAGAGCGCCTGGCAATGGTGTCCATGTGGCTAGAACGCACTGCCCAGCTGTGCTCCTGCAGAGCCCACCCCACTCTTCCCTTCCTAACCCTGCTCTGCTCTGACTGCTGCGTCTTTCAGGAGTTTTCGCTCCAGAGGATGGACAGCCTCGTGGATGATCGCGTCAACATCCTGGGATTTTCCATTTTCAACCAGTCCCATGCTTTCTTCCAAGAGTTTGCCCAGAGCCTCAACCAGTCCTGGCAGGAGAACTGTGACCATGTGCCCTTCACGGGGCCCGCAGTAAGTGCCCACCAAGCCCCTCCCTGGTGCCCCTTTGCCGCCACACACGCCCCCTCTGTGCGCCAGACCCCCCTGGACTCCAGCCTTCTCCAGGCCCAGCTCAAAAAGAGGTTGTAGAAATGCTGGGAAGTGGTCACAAGGGACACGTTTGGGGAGGTGGGGAGCCGTGAGCAGCAAGCGTAGAGGAGTCAGCAGGGAGAGAGGCCACGACTGGTCACTTAGTGATGTCTGTGGCCAGACTCCTGATGATGCTGTTGCTAAGACCCGCCTGAGTTCAGTATCCAAGACTCTTACCATTGGAAAGGGCTTTAGCTGATCTGTTCCCTCATTTCTCAGACAGACTGAAGCCCAGGCTGGGAATGGGGGTGAGGGACGAGGATGCAGGGCTCTTGTTCAAGGACAAACACCAAGCCTCTTGCAGGTGACACTAGATTCTGATACTCCTGGTCCAGTGCCTTTCATCTCCCTGGACCACTGCCCCCAGTAGAGCTTGTCCAGAGAGACTTCCTTTGTGCTTTCACCCGGGTGTTTCCCCCCTGCGCTTCCTTCCCCTCCATTTGTGATGGAGACAGAGGTTTCCCTGGCTGTTCTCCACTGGGTCTGATGTCCTTACTCTCTGGGGCAGCTCAGGAAGGTCTGCTTGTGTCCATTTGCTAAATGACAGGTTCTCAGGAGATGAGATGGCGTGGCTTTCTAGATCTGTCCTAGCCAGATTACATTGAAGCCTCCCAAAGCCCCATAAGGCAGCTCACGTGATGCTCACATAACTTTCCAAAGGGTCAGAGCTCATGCAAAGCTCGGGGAGCTTTCATCAGGGAAGCGCATGGGAGAAGGAGGCGTGAGAACTTGAGTCGCAAGGCTCTTAAGGTTCCAGAGCACATCCCAACAGGGTGTTTTAGAGCTGAAAGAGGGAAGATTCCATAGGAAGGACTTGGCAGGGGCGAAACATCTGAAAGACGGGAGTCCTCACCCCCAGGGGCTTAAGGGATAGTGAGTATTTCCTCAAGCACAGGGTAGGGGTAGGGCCAGGCTCACCCCTCCTGGCAGGAGTGCAGCCCTGTGCTCCTGGTCCGTCCGTGGGTCTTGCAGTCATGACTCGGTATTGTAATGAGGTGCTGACACACTTCAAAGGCTCACAGCACAGTATCAGGAGAGAAAACAAAACCTGCCACCTCCTCTCCAACCCGAACCGTTCCACATTTGGCTTTGGCCAAGTGAAATTAAGGGTCCCGGTGCCACACTGCTGATGTCCCCCTGAGAGTTTCAGCCCTTCCATTCGTGCTCACATTGACCATGAACAGGCAGGTGGGAAGCCCTCGGTACCTGCCTCATAAGGACCCAACACCAAGGCCAGGCAGTGCCACTCACAGGGCTGTAGGGCCAGCTCTGGCTGTGCTCACATGTGCTGAAAAGAGCACTAGCCTTAGAGGCACAGGACCTGGATTCAAACACTGGCTTTGCTATTTTCTTGCTGTGTGATCTTAGGTAGCTATGTAACCCTTCTGGGCCTCAGATTCTTTTTTCTCTAATTTTGGGCAATTATGCTTGACCATGTTAGAGGATTGTTGTGAAGGTAAAATGGGATATGCTTCCATCCTCAATTCACAGTTATTCATTGAATGAGTTTATTTAACATCCCATCTGCCAGACACTGGGAGAAGCATTAGTAAATGCATCAGGTAGCTTCTGCAGCAGAAATGCTGTGTAACAACCTACCCTCAAATCTCACCAGCTTACAGCGATGAACGTTTATGTAGCTCGTGCATCTGAGGGTCATAGGGATCAGCTAGTCTGCGCTGGCTCAGCAGGCAGCTCTGCTGATCTGGCTGAGCTCAATGCCTGGGGTTCAGCTGATCCAGGCTGGGATGGCTCTGCTCCACGTGCCTCTCATCCTTCTCCCGACCCAGCAGGCTAGCCTGGTATGTGCTCGTGGGGGTGGCAGGAGGGCAGCAAAGCAAGTGGAAATGCACAAGACCTCATAGTCCTAGGCTCCCAGGACAGGCACGCTGTGACTTCCACCTCATTTCGTTGGCCAAAGAATGCCACGTTCACAAACTCAGAGTCAGGGAGTGAAGAAACGGACAGAATGCTGAACCACTGATGCTTGAAATTATCCCACCCTGACGTCTTCCTCCTCATGGCACCCTAGCAACAGACAAGAGCAGTTGTGCATCCCTTTGTGACAAATGAAGAAAGTGAGGTGAAATGAGGAGACCCGGAGCCTGCCGAGGGCCTCCAGAGGATGGTGCTACAGGGAAGCCTGGACTAGAGCTTACAGAACCTTCCAGCCATGGTCTCTGTGGTCACTGAAGGGAAGGTGATACAGCAACTCCTCACCTGGAAGCAACAAATCTTTCTCGAGGCTTCTCGCTTCAGCATCTACCTTTGGCAAAGCTGTGCCTCTTCCCGTAAATTCCCAGCACAAACAGCCCAGCTCTTTCATCTGCTGGGGAGCCGGGAGGTGAGAAAGAATCAATTCCAGAAAAGCGCAGCCCGGTTTGTCGCCCCATCCAGCTTTCTAAAGAGGCTGCAACCGCTCCTGTCTCGGAGGGACTGCTCTCCTCCCCCTCCCTTTCCTCCAAGGTCCTCTCCCCTCTCCCCTCCTCTCTCCATCGGTTCCATTCTCTTTTCCTTCTCATCTCCTCCCCTCACTCTTCCCTTTCCACTTTCCTCTGTCACCATAACCTCCTTCCTTCCTTTCTCTTTCTGTTCCTCTTTCTCTCCCACATGCCACGTTTTCTTTGCATTTTCTTCTGTCTCATTTCTTTTCCTCCCAACTGGAGTGTGTCTCCCTGTCTTCCTCATCTTCCCAGTCGGCCCATGATATTCCAGTTGCAGCTCGCTGGAACGGGGGCCCACTTCCAAGGGCACAGAGAGGGAGTGGCTGAACCGAAGGGTGACCACCAAAGGAAAAAGCTCAGTGCTGCGCCCACCAGGCTGTGTCCGCCAGGTGGCTGCCAGCGAGCGACAGACATGCTTCTTGCCAGAGGTGATGACAATGACAGAAGACAGTGTCGTGAAGGGAGACACATCCCCTCTAATTTCACGTGCCAATCCCATTCATCACACGGCAAAGAACAGAAATCGTGGAAAATCATTAAAATTACAGATGGCTAGATTAAGTAATTAGAATTTAGGCTAAAACAGCTGTTTGTAATTAAGTGTTTATTTCATTGAATAAAACCCAGATTGTAAGAACTACTCCATGAGATTTTAACAGTTCCTGTCCTGGTGTTATGTTGGGGGTCAGAGTTTAAGCGACAGAAGTTCTGAGACAAACGGACATCCAAGAGGACTCTGGGAATCCAGTGATCTGGGGGGTGTCAGGGAAGATGAGGGTTACAGGTGTGAGTTTAGAAGACATTCTTATTTTTATTTGGATGGGTGGGGGAGAAACTCAGCCGCTATTCCCTGAGTCAGGTTGATTCATCTTAATTTATACAGAGTCTTTCATTCCCCTGAACAATTTACAAACAGCTCAAAAGAAGATAACAATGAAGAAACAAATGAAAATATAAAAACAAGAGAATCGAGGGTGTTTGCCAAGCAACATTTTGGAGCCAAGGAAGGAGAGGATTTTAAATGAGGGTTGAGTCATTTGGGGGATTTAATATTCAGAAGAGACAGGACAGGAGAAGCAGAGACAAGACCCAGAGGCACACACATGCGGATGGGAAACAGAAACCACAGAAAGACAGTGAGGGCTCGTGAAAGGGAAGCGGATGGACGACGGGAAGGGGCAGGGATGGTGGGCACTACAGGCCCAGCCCTGGAGACATGGATGGAGCACCATTTGGGTACCAGAACTCTTCCCCAAATGCTTTCCAGAGCTAAATTAGTAAATAATAGTAGAGGAAGAAAGCAATTCGGAGAGCAAAAAGGTGCTTTGGGATGGAGCCCCTCAGTGAGATGGAAAAGTTTATGAGCAGAGATTAGATTACAGGCTCTCACACCATCGGAGGTGACATTGGCAACGGTGGACGGGGTGGGGGGAATAAGCTGGAGGAGTGTGGATGGGAGACAAGGTTTCAGAGAAGCAGCTGGAGGATCCCAGTGAGAGACCTGGGCTGATTGCCAGGAGCCTGTGAGAGAGGAGCCGGCTGGTGATCTACGGAGGACCCTTAGGAGGCTGAACTGAGAAAAAAAGAAGATGTTCGGGACTTAGGAGGTTTCAGGAGCTCAAATCAGCCCAAGTTGAACTGCAGAAAGGACCCATGAAGCCCAGAGCACACTGGGGACACGTCAGCTGTGTCACCTCTCTGAAGGCAGGATACAGTTGGAGGGGAGACAGGGACCTTGATGATGTTCCTTCCATCCTCTTCCTCCTTCCCACCCCCAGCATCCTTTGCTGGAGCTGTAATTACTAGAAGCACTCGAAGAATCTTGAAGGCCCCAGAGTTCAAGATGCCAAAGAACACTGCAAACAGACACACGCCAATTTCCCAGCGTCTGGATCATTTGCTAATAAGGGAGCATCAGCGAAGAAAACCACGTCCCAGACGGAGTGGGAATAGCGGCAACCATGTGGCAGGAGGAGCTTGGGGCCTGGTGGGAGGATGTGAGAAATGGCATGGTGAGCTGTGTCTGCAAGTCTCCGGGGACCAGCACGCAGCCTCGTGAGAAGAAGAAGGGGGTTAGAGAGCGGATAAGGCCAGGCCTCTCTGGGGGCCTGCCCTGAGACAAAGGGGGTCCCCAAGGCCTTGGTACCAGTTAGGATGCTCTGAGATTCAAGTAACAGAAATCCGGAATGAAACGGACTCTTACCAAAAAGGAAGTGTGTTATCATGTGTCACAGTAAGTCCAGAGGTAGGGCAGATCCTGGAGCGATGTCGTTGGAAACCCAGGTTCCTTGCATCTCTGCTCTGCGCCCTTGGTGTCAACTTCATCCTCAGGATGGAGCCAGGATGGCTGCGGCAGGTCCAGGTGTCATATCCAGACCCAGCAATGTCCAGAGGAGGAGGAAGGACAGCCTCTCCTAGAGACAGGAAACTCGTCTGAGAAGCCCCTCGCTGGAGCCCCGCACTCCAGGACTCAGTTCATGTTTCATTGGTCAGAATTGGACCACCTGCCCAGTCCCGAATCCCATATTGGCAGGGGAGATGGGATGACTCTTGGAGCGCTCAGGCTCACCTGGGAGCTGGGACTGGGACCCCAGAAGCACATGGCTGATTGGGGGAGGGGAGGACACCTGCAGGAAACGGGGGTTCTGTTAGGAGGAAGGGGAGAGTGGGTGCTGGGGGGCAGCTGGTGGTAACCTTCCACTGCCCCCTCTGTCCTGCCCTTATAGTCCTGTTCTAGTAGAGGCCCCAAGTGGCTCTTAACTGAAGGGCTAACTTGAGGACAAACAACCAGTCAGACCATGAGGCAAACTGGGTGATAACTAAACCCAGGGTAGCAGAGAAGCCTGCCTAGCACCCTTCCCTGTGCCCAGCTCTGGCTCAAGAGTCTCAGGCTCGCATCTGCTGTTGAGAAGGTAACTGCATCCAGGAAGATTGCCCCATGCTGTCCTGGGAGGCGAGGCACGGATAATTCTGATAGAGCAATGACATCCCCTGGCTTCTCCAGAGGAGCCTTGCCAGGAAGGGAGGGGGAAAGAGTGCTGCAGAGAGGGGTGGAAACCATCCTGGACAAAGGGGTGCTGGGCTTCCAGTCTAGTCCTGTCCTGGCTGAAGACCTATCTTCATTTGTAAAATGAGAGGGTTGGACTAGTTGATTTCTAAGATCCCTTCCAGCTCTGACACGAGTGATTTTGAGAATCTCAGGATGGAGAGATTAACTGGGAGGCAAGGGAGACAGAAATTAGCTTAAGGCATCATTTAAATAGCCAAACGGAAGGATGGAGAAGCAGTGTCAATAGGGGTAGCTACCTCTCCCTCAGGTAGATGTGTGTCCGAGCTGGAATGGGAGAGTCTGTAGCATTCATAATTTCCATATGTCCTTTGGCAAGGAAATGTGAGAGGTCCATTCATAAAGGAGCCACTTGTGCTCAGGGGGAAATGAATTGTGTGCAAAGACAAGACAGCTGTAGGCTTGCTGAGAAGCATCCAGCGCCACGCAGGTGAGCCTCGAATCAAGTGAAGGAGGAGCTCAGCTGCTAGGGGAAGGGCAGTGGGATGGAGAAGAGGATGCGGTAGGTGATGGATGAACTTGGAGGAACGTGGCTGGTTTTCACGGCTCAGCGGGACCACAGAGGTTTCCACTGACCCTGATCGTGCGATTTAGGTGCCCTTACCTGCTTGGTCTCCAGGTCACAGGTGGCCACAGGTGGCCACAGGTGGCTTCAGGACCGGGCCAGAAAGGAGGGGTGATTGATAGAGCTGGGAGGGCAGAAGACCCAGCGAAGGCAGAGGGGACACAATGGCTCACGCCTGGTGGGATGTCTCAGCGGAGAACAGGAGGTGCTGAGGTCTGCAGTACCCACCGGATCGTAGGGGCTGAATAGATGCGTGAAGAAAGGACAGAGGCGGGCGGAAGGAAGAAAAGAAGGAGCAAGAGACGGAGTGAGGGTGAGAGGGAGGAAGGAAGAACACACTGGCCAGGCAATTTTGCGTGCAAGTGAACTGGAATTGGGGCAGAGAACTTTATTTTGCTCTTTTTCCCTCTAACTGCCTTCTAGAAAGATTATCCAAAGTCAGCCCACCCAGTTCTCATGACAGACCTTTTTGCCCAACATGGAGCAAAACTGTGGGGAAATACATCCCTCTTCCCAGCCCATTTTCTGCCCCGTCGCTCCCTGTTCTTGCTACTCCCCAGGGTCCTAGCTCAGCCAGGACGGGCTTCCTGAGCCCCTGCTGATGCCCGTGGGCACGTGGAGTGCATCACCCCGCCCTCGGGTATGGTGACCCCTGAGACTGGCAGTTTAGAGGGCACTTTCACTGACCCGTGAGGCAGGGATGCTACCTCTTGTGTGCAGGAAACTTGCTGCCCCCGAGGTTCCGTCACTCAGCACGTAAGAGAGGCCTGGGCGCTGGACTCGGGTTTCGGTGTTCTGAGTTTTGAGCCCTTTCTCCTGCACATCCCTGACTCAGGCTGCTTATACTGTGTCTGGAGAGCTTGAAAAAGATCTAAGAGGTCACAAGCTGGTCCCTCTCCCTCAAGCCTTGGAGGGACCGGTGTCCCAGGGCCCAGCCAGCTAGGAGGGAGGTTGTAAGATGCCACATGGAGAGTGTTCTTGACGGGTTAGGCTCTGAAGGGATGGTGCTGATTGCCCACGGTGGGATGTCAGAGTTCAGTGAGGAATTTGCTTTGCACTGGGACCGAGGGTTGAATTCCAGAGCCCAACATCACACCTCCCACGAGGAGGCCTTTGCATGCCTTCCTGGTCCTCCCCTCAGGGCCCCGTACAGTGTAGACCCCGTAGTCATTCACACTGGGTAGGTTCTCTTGTCATTAACATAGCAGAGTGTGGCCCCCTCCTCAGATGGCACATTCCCCAAGGACAGGCATCTTCTGTCCTTCTGCTCCTACCACCTCCTCCCAAACACCCCAACCTTCGCCTCCCCAAAGCTTGCAAACATCCGGTTAACCGGGTGTATGTTCAGGCTGAGCCTTGTGGGCAGATATCACTCAACATTTAATTCAGTTCAAGAAATACGTCTTGGGGGCTTCCTGTACGCAGGGTCCTGGCTCTAGACGAGATGCAGGCGATAGAGATTGAGGTCCTGTGTGTTCCTGCCCTAAGCACTGGCCGTTTCACAGGGAGGTGAAAATATGGACAAACAGCTGCACTAGCCCTTCCCCTGCCTTTAAGGCCCTCACAGCACTCTCCCCACCTCACTTCTGGTTTATTGCTTTCTGCCCTCCTCCCCCCATGTGTGCTCCACCCTCCCCCACACTTTGTCTTTGGCCCCGCAGTTCCCCCTCTGGAATACCTTTCTCCTCTTCCCAGCTTCTCCCCACCCCCAGATCCAATGTCTTTCCTACCAAATCCTTCAGTGCTCAGTTCCAATGCTGAATCCTCCAAGAAACATTTTCTTGATCACCCAACCAGTTAAGGTATCTTCTCTTTGGACCCCCCCAAAAGACCTTTTGGCCCGTGTCACTCAGTTTCATGTTACCTTTATTTGTGTCCTATCTCCCCATCTCCCCTCCCCAATTCTATCTAATCTATCACAGGAATAAGGTCTTGCTTACTGCTGGGCTTTGAACTCACCATATACTTCATATATGCTCATCATATTGAATAGTACAAAGTAGACTGTAATAGTAGGTACATTTAGGAAGAAACAATATCAAGGGGGTCTTCCAGGAGGAAGTGACCTTCAACTGAGCCTTGCAGAATGGGCAAATCTGAGGGTAGAGTTCCTTCCACCTCCTGAGATAAGCACCCTGCCCCTTCCTTGGGGCTTCTCAGATCAGTGGAAGATGTTACTTCCCTGGAGGAAAGAGAGAATAGGATACCCTTGAAATCATTTGGGGCCCAAAGAGGTGGCTTGATGGTCCAATTTCAGAGAAGGCTTGGCCACCATTGTCGCCTTGGGCCAGCACTGGACTCTTAGGGGAAGTGGACCCCAGAGGCAGGAGGTGGGCCCAGGGCATCAGGGACACGCCTTTACTTCTTGGTTTTGCTTTTCTTTCTTCCTCCTCTTCTCTTTTCTTCCTCCTTTCCCTTTCCTTCCTTTACACCTGTCACTTCGTCTCTCTGCCCCCTCCCAGCTGTCCTCCGCCCTGCTGTTTGACGCCGTCTACGCTGTGGTGATGGCGGTGCAGGAGCTGAACCGCAGCCAGGAGATCGGCGTGAAGCCCCTGTCCTGTGGCTCAGCCCAGATCTGGCAGCACGGCACCAGCCTCATGAATTACCTGCGCATGGTGAGGGGTGTTGGGGGCCCTGTGGGCCATGCCCAGCCTGCGGGGGGTGGGAGGGACCACTGTTCAAGGCCCCTCACCTCCAGACCTCCCCAGTACATCACAGCCCCGGGTAAAACAGCGATCTGTGGTGACCCCATTGAAGGGATCATCCGTCACAGTTGTTCCCTAATCCCTAAAAGCCGCCGAGAACCCATGGCAAGTTTGTTTACAGGGCAATGGGCTTTGAGCCTTAGACTGTCAGGGGGTCTCTGGATTCCAGGCTTGGAACTTGACCCCTTGGCTCAGAGGTCGTCCCTGCAAAGCTCTGCACAAGTGAGGACAGATGGATGATGCTGTCATAGACTGTGGCCCCTCAGGGAGTTGCAGGCTCAACACTTCTGGCCTGATGCTGGGTTCCGCCAGGGTTCTCCCAGCCAAGCCACCTCTGGTGGGATGGACGTGATTCTAGCCCACGAAGAAGCCATCTCCTGTCAGAGGAGCCTGGGGGAGAGCGGCTAGGATTTTGCAGTTAGAGTCAGGTTATCCCGCAGCTTGGAGGTGGGTGAGTAGCTGCCCAAGGAGGATAAATGCTATTCACAGCCAAGGGCCTGGAGGAGGAGCTCAGGGGGATCTGAGCTCAAGCTAGCATCTCAGCATCGTCACATCACAGCAGCTGTGAGGTCATTGGGTGTGGGGCATCCTTTCCTCCTCTAGCCCCGGCCAAGTCTGAATTGGTTCCAGAGACATCACTTGCATAGTCTGAAGATCCTGTGGCTGAGAGGTGGACAGGAGAATGGATCTTGATGGCTTCCCTTCTCTTGGGCATCCTTAACCAGCATGGTGGAATGCTTGCTTGGGGCCACATGGAAGGCGGGGCCTATTTGGTGCTGTAACTCACTCTCTCTTGGACAGGTAGAATTGGAAGGTCTCACCGGCCACATTGAATTCAACAGCAAAGGCCAGAGGTCCAACTATGCCTTGAAAATCTTACAGTTCACAAGGAATGGTTTCCGGCAGGTAAGCCTAGCCATGCCACTGTGGTGGCAGATCCCTCCTCCTTGTTCCTTTCTCTGTCCCCAGCCCATTTCTCCTTGGCACTCAGGATGGCCTCCTGCTCTGAGTTGTCCCCAGGAGCAGCAGGCTGTGTCCAGTGCAAGGCTCCTGGCAAGTCCTGGCTTCCCCCTTCCTGCACCAGGATCAGCCAGTGTGGGTCAGGGGCCGCAGCCCCAGCAAAATGCCAAGAGAGAGGCAGCCGTGCTTTATGTGGGGAGAGGCGAGACAAGGGAGCATCGTATAAGGAGGGAATTCCCAGGTCTTTCCACTCTTTGGATTATTCTACTCCCTGAATCTCGCCCTAATCCTGGAACCAGGGTTAGATTCCAGGTTGCTTGCCCGTCACGTACAGATCAGATACCATCGGGCTGAGGAATCCCTTCGGCGTTCAGTTCTCTTCTGTCAGCTCTTTTCTGACCAGCCCACCCACACCCTTCTGCCATGCCAACCACACCTCCCCCCTCCTGGCTGCTCCCTGTCTCCTCCACCAGCTCAGGATGCTTTGTCCCCTGGAGCTCCTTTCAACACCCTCTTCCTTTCTCATTCTCCTCCATTAACCTTCTCACTCTCCTTTCCTCTGATTTTCTTACATCAGAGGAAACAGGGATTCTGGCAGTCACTCCAAGTGCCTCTCGGAAGGTCTTCCAACCTCCCCGTCACTCTAATAATCAACTCTTTATTCTTAGTGTATCCTTTCTCCAACCTTAAAGAGCCTTAGAAGTAGGAAAGGATGCACTAATTAGGGCAGGAAGCAGACATACTGAAGAGCCTCCTGCCTAGCAGAGCGGCTGACCAAGGAAACGTACCACTGAAGGGGTCACAGAATCACCTTTTCAGGAGATTATGAAGGATCATCATCATCTTCTTTACCACCACCACCACCATCACCACCATCACCATCGTCTTCACCATCACCACCACCATCACCATCACCATCACCACCACCACCATCACCACCACCATCACCACCACCATCATCATTATCGTAGGGGCTTTCATTTATTAAGCTCTTACCATGGGCCATTTACCACAAGAAGTGTGTCATTTGTAGTTTCTCATTTAATCCTACAAAGTAGTTACTTTTTATTAATCCCCATTTTACAAGCGAGGAAATTGAGGCTCCAGGAGACTGACTTGGCCTTGAACAATGTAGTAATGGCAGTTGGTTTTGAACTCAAGTACCTCTGATTCTAAAGCCCAAGTTCTTAACCACTATGACAAATTGTGCATTAGACTAACCTTGGTAACTTGTTAAAGATGCAGATTTTTTAGACTCCACCCCACAAGAATCTGATTGGGTAGACCTAGCAGAGGGCCCAGGAACGGCTGCAACATCAGGCACCCAAGGTGATCCAGGTGATACTCTGGGCTGCGCTGGGAGGGCCGTCACATCTGCATCCTTCCCCTCGGTCCTCATGCCTGAGAGGCTCCAATTCAGCCCTTCTCACGGGGGCCGGTGGAGTTCGTTTTAGTAGGACAGTGATTATGCTGGGCCACAAGGCCAGGTCACCCTTCTTGGAAGACGAGAAAGTAAAAGACAGGAGTCCCAGACCGAGAGAGGAGCTATGTTAACGACTCCTCGTAGCTCAGGGCCGGAGCTACGTGATCTTTAAGCAATGACATCAGCAACCTTTTTTCATAACTTCCCAAATGGGGTGGGAGTTAGGTAGGCGGCCAGAAACTATGGGATGGAGGATCACAAAATGGTCATTTCATGTGTGTAACAAATCATGTACTGACCCCTTCCTATGAGTCAGGCACTGTGCTGGGCATTCAGCAAACAAAACCGAAAAGGCACAGTCCCTGCACCGAGGCAGCCCACACTCTGGAGAGAGAGACTGACGGAAAAAATAAGTGCACTTTAGGTTATTAAACTCAAATCATGCCCTCGGGCTCATAATTCTCGGAACAAAGGAAGCTGCCTGCCTGTAGGAAAATTGTCAGGCAGACTTCCTGAGTCCCAGTGGGGGATGTGAAGTAAAGAACATTTATTCATTTTTTCAATATATATATTCTGAGTGCCTGTAATGTGCCAGGCTGTCTTCTAGACAGAGGTGAAAAATGGGCTTAGTGTCTGCTTCCGTGGAGCCTGTATTCTAATAGGGAACAGACAGCAGGCAAACAAATACTATATAATATGTCAGTAGAGGTAAGTGCTACAGGAAAAGTGAAACAGGGTCAGGAAAAGGAAGGGATGAGAGAATAATGGGGAGAAGCAGTAGTTAGGGGAGCAATGCCAAGCCCAGACCACCTGCATAGAAAGCCCAGGCTCAGGCTTTGAAAAACGCCCCTTGGCCTTCAGCCCTGCTTTGAGATGCTCCCTGGAAACAGCCCACTTCCATCGGGCAACACCTGCGGTGACAGAGTTGGCTGGCCGCTCCGATCCCACCCTCTACTTGAAGAACAGCTCATTAAGCTCGGAGTACCTCTTCACCTTACCTGTGCTTCTCCACCAGCCGCCACTCAGGCTGGTTTTCCCAGCTGCCAGGCTGCAAGACCGCCTGAGTCATTAGGAAATAGCATCGCCAGCCACCAGCACCCATCCCTCAGCCCCGCCCCAGTGCAGCAAGGGGTTCTGCTCGGAGGCATCCTGCACAACAGCTGCTGCCCCTTCTTCCGCAGCACCTATGGAGGGTAGGGCTTCCCAGACCCAGGTGTGCACAAGAATGACCAATGGTGCTCGTCTTAAAATGTACTTTCCTAAGCCCTACAGCTATAAATTGAGTTAGAAAACTGGGTGCATTCCAGGAATCTGCGTCTTCTTAACTAGCACTCAGATAGATGGTTATCATGCTGGTGGTCCACAGGCTGCCCTTTGACAAAGACGTACTGCAGCCTCAATGCATAGAATTTTTTCTTGACCTTCCTGCATCCCACCCCCATCTTTTTGAGCTAATGTTGAATGGAATCTGCTACAGAAGTGACCATTAAAGAGGACGATGTTTTTGACCTTCAACTACCCTAAGGGGCACACCTCCTTGATTGGACTTATAAAGTGAATCACCATAATCCTCCTTACTACCCATTTTTCTTCAACAAATCTGGTGGCCATACCGCTGCTTTCCTGTCTGGCTCACATGCCGTGATTGGCAGTGAGAACCCTGCAAGATGTATCATGGGCACAGAGATAGCTTTGCAGCCCTGGTCCCCAGGTCCCATCCCAATCACCGACCCAATCTTTGCCTCTTGACAGCTGTCCTTCCCCTGCTTATCACAGGATGAAGAAATGGTTTGGGGACTGATAATTAATTGGGCTTCTGCTCCAGGGTAGGAGGAATGTCAGTAGCACTCTCTAATATTCTCCCAATTCCATCCAAGGTGATGCTGGCAGGGGAGGGGAGAGTGACAAGGAACATCTCTCGAGGACCTGTTGTGTAGCAGAAGCTACATGGGTACTTTGCACAGGTCACTTCTGATCTGGAGGACAGCCCTTCAAAGTAGATAAACTCCCATTTCACAAGTGAGGAAACAGAAGCTCAAGGATGGTAGATAACTTGGCCCAAGCCCACAAGTAGCAAGGTCTCTGGGCAGAGCTGGAATTCACACTCAGGCTTGTCCAACTCCCAAGCCCATGCTCATGGGTCTCCCCCTCCTGGCTTTTCTCTTTCCTGGAATCCCTAAGCCCCCAAATCACAACACTTTACCTTGCTGCCACCTGCTGCAAACCAGGACAGAGCCTGGCTCCTGGTGACCTGCTGGGCTGGGCTTTCTTTAGTCATGGTAACTTCTCATTTGGATTTGGTTTTTTTCTTTCTCTTCCTATCTGGGCGAGTGACTATTAAGAGCTGGGTCTGACTATTTAGAAAGCATGCAGGGACCCAGTGGGTTGTAATGGTAAAATGTCTGAACCAAATACCATATTCCCTGCCAGTGGCTGATTAAGGGATTATTACCATTTTAAAAATAGTTTTTTAGAGCTTAGGGCTTTGGGTTTTTTTACCATTCAAAAAAATTACTGTTTTGATTCTGTTTCGAGAGGTTTTCCATCTTGGAACTCTGTGGAGCTTCCACTGGAGCCTGTTTGGGGGAAAATGTCCCCTATAGTGTCCTGTAAGTGACACTTCCAAACCTGGACCAGGTTCACTAGCTCCAGCACCCAGTTTTTGCCCCCAGTGTGAGTTATCTCATCTCCATCCCATATTCTCCTTCCCCATCCCACAAAAGATGTCCTGGGTGGTATTGGAATAGTATAATCTCCCTTCCTAATTTGCGAGAAATCATATTTGAAAGAGGCAAGGGAAAAAAAGCACAGTCTTAGAGGGCCCTTAATCTCCTTCATTTTAACTTGGTTTAAAGATCAGAGGTTCCAAGCAGGCCCCCAGCGACTTTGTTAGGGCTGTAATAAGATGAGCACACCTTTCATCTGAGGATCAGAAATGGCTTAACAGGCTCTAATTAAGCCTTCGGGAGAGGGAGGGATGAGGCCGGGTAGTGTCTGTTGAGGGGGTTATCTCTAGCTAAAGATGAAAATTGAAACTTTTCCATTGGCTCACTGTATATCGCAATAGGGCACCTCAGCTTTCTTCCTCTGTGCAATGAGGATGGTAACCCCTCAACATTTGGTCTGGCTAAGCTCAAGGATTATTGAAAACTAGATTTGCATAGCCCTCTCTTCATGCTCTGCTGACATAGTAAGAATGGCTCTCATTTATTGGGCGTCTCCTACAAGACGCACTGTGCTGGGCGTACTTAAAATTTCTCATCTTTTTATCAACCATGCATAAAAGCTATTCTGTCCATCTTACAAGTAAAGAAACTGAGAAAGGCATGTTCCTCATCCATTCAGCTAGTTAGTTCCAGGCTTGAGAACTGAGTCTGGGTCTAGCTGTTTTCAAAGTCCCTGGTCTTTCCACTCTGCAGAATTGCCCAGAACATGCTGGAGGAAACTCTGAGGCCTCTGGTCTAATCTTCCAACCCAGTGCAAGAATGTTCTCCACAGCATCCCTGAGGGAAACAGCCACACA